ACGTGTTTCTGCTCCCTGGAGCCTCTTGGCATGGCAAGTGTGTGGTTGACCTATGCCAGAGTCACCAGAAGTGGGGAGAGGGCCCTGATTAGAATAGAGTGTGCAGAGAACCATCCCACAAGGCTGCCAGCAGGGCCAGGGCCTTAGTCCCATTTCACAAATGAGGAAACTAAGGCAGTCTCCTGCTCTACATCTCACAACTGGGAGCAAGGCCTTGAGGGAGCAGTGGCAGGAGCCCTGCCAAACTGCCGTGGGCACTGGGCTGGTCAGTCCTGTTCCTGGAGGGCCATGGGGAGGGGCCTTGGTGCTGACAGGCAGCTGGTTCCCATGGGAGGGGGATGAGGGGCTCCATGAATGAATGCATGCACAAGGCTGGGGGCCTGGTGCTCCTGCTTGTTGGCTAACAGGGCTGGTTTTCTGCCCATAGGGGGCTGGCTGCACCGCACTGGTGGTGGCTGTGGTGGCCCGAAAACTGGAGCTCACAAAGGCTGAGAAGCACGTGCACAACTTCATGATGGACACACAGCTGACAAAGCGGGTAAGGGGGGCCTGGGAGACTCCCAGGAGCTCTGGGCTGCCAGGCACCTGTGACGGATCCAGCCCTCCGTTCTAGTGGCACAGAGCCATGATGCCGCTGGACAGAGAGGTGGGAGGGGGCAGCACGGGTTCCCTGGGGACCAGCAGTGTGGGCAGGGGCCTTGGGCTGGCTCTGAGCAAGGGCACAAAGGAGCCTCGAGCCCCGTTCCCCTCCCAGCTGCTCCCTTGCTGGGGATTTTCCTCATGGGCTGCTAGAAGTTGCTAGATGAGATGAGAAGCCACAGGTGGTACTGGGCTGTTGGGCACAGGCAGAGCCATGAGCCCCAGAAGGCCTTTCATTGCAGAGAAGCTGCTGCATGGTGTCCTGGCCCCTCTGGGCAGCCCCAGCCTTGGAACAGCCACCCCAGCCAGCAGGCCTGCGGTGTCACAGCTGTGCACTGCTCCACTGTACTGTGGACATAGACGCTGCAGCCACGCACCACGTGGCAGGGCAGGTGCTGAGACACGGCTGCCCTGGACAGGGCTGTGCCTGGCGGGGTGAGCAAACCGGGATGAGTGCTCCGGGTCCCATGGTTTGGGGGGCCCTGTGGGGCAAAGTGGCTGCGGCCTCTCCTGCAGGGCCCGCCTAGTGCTGGTGACTCCATGCTGCCACTGCCAGCTTCGCATCCAGCCACTCACCATTTCTTTCCCCTTCTCCCCTCCACGCCCCCTGCCAGCTTCTTCACATCTGGGCCACACAGAGGCTGATTTGCCCCAAGCCCCGCACCCTCCTAGGGTTGCCTCTGGCCCTGAGGGCTGGACAGATATGGGGAGGAGCAGGCAGACAACTTCTCTGCCAGGGGATAGGGGGTTAGGACTTGCCATGGAGCAGCCGATACAGAGTAACTGCTTCATGTGTCCACTCCAATTCTGCGGCCACTGAACAGGGACAGCATCGCTGCGAATGAAACAGGCTCCATTCCCAGCTGCTGCCCAAAGAAGAGCCAGGGCTGACTAGAACCAGTGGATCTGCTCTGTCCTCCCACCACCGGTGCTAGAGGTCTCTGGTTTCCAGGGACGAGGAAACCCAGAAGCTGAGTTTGCCTCCAGAGAGGCAGCACCACCAGCTCACTTTGAAACAACCATCTCCTGGGAGCCAGGCAGCCTCCAGAGCTCAGTGAAGGTCTTGCTGGTCTCTGCCTCCTAGGAGTGATGGAGCTGGGAGTGGCCGATGCTGCCTGTGACCTCCCACCCTGGGCAGGCAGCATCATAGTGACCTGGCTCTGCATGGCCGAGGTCCCTGTTGGATGAGGGCTGTTGGTCTCCCGAGATGTCCCTGTATCTCTGTGGTGGGTCCAAGGGCCTCACACTCTGGAGACGAGCTGCTACCCTGGCCCTAGGCCTCAAAGCCCAAGATCCAGACCTTCCTCTGCACTCCAGCCTCATAGCCACAAGCCAGAAAACCAGCGACTGCCTGAAGTCTGACTCCATTCTCCACTCAGGCTAATACGGTCACTGAATGTGCAGATGGCCTGTCACCCACAGCCTGGGCCTCCCACCCATTGAGCAGGCAACATGCTGCACAAGGACTGCAGCTAAAAAACTTCAACCCCAGCTCCCACCCATTGGGGTGGCAGCTGCCCCGTGGGCCTGGACTTCCCTCAGCCATCTCAGAATGGACGTCGGGCAATTTAAAGTGAGCATGCATCCCTGGGGCCTCTCCTGTGATGCTGGCTGCGGCTGTGGTGCTCGAGCTCAGACAGCTGAGCACATCATCTGAAAGTGACTTCGCGGCCTCCTTCCGGCACCCAAGGTCTCATTGACATTGATTGTTCTACCTGCTGCTGGCTTTTTGGCCCTTGGGCCTCCAACATATGAGCGTGGCAACATTTGCTTCATCATCAATCCTCATCATCATCACCATCATCACACTCTGAGCTCACACAGGAGGGGAGGGGTGCCTCTCTCAGCTGAGCCCTGTGGGATCTGGAGGCCTGGCGCCACCCCAATCCATTCCAGCACCCACATGACAAACAAAGCTCCCATAAGATGTCTCACCTGCTCAGAGGACCCTGCTGTGCCTGGCACCCCTGGTGGGACTTGGCTCCTGTTTCTGGTTCCCATTTTCTGCTCTCCAATGGGAAAGTCCCATGGCTCAAAGCTTTTCCAGTGCAGGAGGCATATACAAACTTCCTGAGAGGCAAGCAGGAGGGTGGTGAACTCAGTCTTCTGAACTGCTGAAGCCAGTGGGTTGTATCTGGCTGCTTTCCTAATGCTCCCAGTCAGAGTAGGGGACCCTTCCTCCAGGGACCCTGCCAAACAGATGGCCTCCTGCACGTCTGCACCCCCGACACCCCCTGGATGCCAGCCTGGAGCTGCTTTGCAAATGGGAGAAGTGACTATCGGGCGCCCCTGCGAGGGCCTGAGTGCGAGGTCTCCATGCCCGCTCCAATGAGAAGGAAGTCCCAAGGCTGGGCTGCCTGCCCAGGGAGGCACTAGGCCTCCAGCCATGTCTCATGACTTCATCTCCTGCATCACCAGGACAGTCTGTGCTGCCAGGGCCACAGCTGAGCAATCTCTTATGGGAGAGAGACGGCAGTGGAGCCTGTGGCGGGTGCAGAGATCCCACCTCAGGAACACA